TCGCTAGGAAAAAAAAAGGTCACATTTCTCTTCCAAGAGGCTCTTTTCCTTCAAAAAATGAATGCTCGGCCTTGTTAAGAGTCACGGCAATAAGAATTCATTCCAGGGTAATAAACTTGTGTGAATTTATGCAAGCTGCTCTTACTGATAGAGACAACCAGTAAGACAGAGTAAGATATAAGCTATTGCTTAGAAGCAAGCATCTTTTTCACACCCAGAATATTCTGAAATTAAATCTCAAAGCTCAGATTCTCAGTTTTGTGTATATCAGTACCAGCTAATAGAGGAATCCTCACCACATGTCAGGCACCAGCCTGGCTGTAATAGACCTTACATGTCTCCTGATTTATCTATATGGGGTTAATGCACCCAGCACAGAAAAAGCATCTGTTTGAAAGGAAGGAGAAAAATATATTTTTCCATAATCCAGGGTAAACACTGGCTTTGCACAAAGTGACTTATATTTATATAGGGAGTATGATATAGCTATTTTTAGGTTTCCAATTTTGCACGTCTTATAAAACCAGGGATTAAAAATGTAAAGACAAATCGAAAAACCTGCTGAAATCTCACGCACACACCACTTGGCCCAAACCACGCGCTGGGTTCAAGGGTCTTCATAAGGCTACATCAGAAAAGCAGTCGCCCAATCTGAAGTCCTCTGGCCATAGAGAAGTGGCCTCATTTGACGTGCTTTGCAGCGCTACACGGAAAATCTGCTTTTCTGTAGCAAGAGCCCCGTGGTCTTCTGATAGCAAAAGACATTTTGTTTTTAACCATCGAGCTGTCTTTGGTTGGCTGTGCGGCTGCTGGGGTGGAAAAACAGCACTCTTTGTACTTGCTTACAGCTCTTGAAATGTGCTTTTCCGCCCCTTTAAAGTGTGAGGAGTCATGCATGCACTTAGGAACATCTAGAGATAACAGATAGGTCCCACTGGGCAATTCTCTGAATTTTTTTTTGTCTCCCTTTACAAGGAGAGACAACAGGCATGGGAGCTCAGATGAAGCTCAGAGAAGCCAAAAAGGAAACCACAGGTTTTACTTTTCTCTTCAGAGCTGGTGTTTAGTGAGGCCTCATTCCTCAGCATGACAGAGACTCTGCTGTGCTTTTCTCTGCTTCTCAAATGCCTCGGGTCACCCGGAGAGATTCTGTGAACTCCAATAATCCTGATGTCAACCCAGAGATGTAGATAAACACTCTTTTATTCTCCTGTCCCAACTTTCTCAGACCTCAAGAAAGATACCTGCAGATAAGATGTTCCCATCTCAGTGGCAAAGGGCTTCTTTCACAATATGTGATTTGGGAAATTAGTCAGATTTTGTTTACCCTCTGGTGGTAGTTTTGCTCTCTTTGGTTCACAGAACACAAGGGAGAAAATTTCTTTCTAAACTCTAATTTTATTTATTCTTCTTCCTCCTGCTTCCTAATTCCAGCCAAAGGGAAAGGTCACAGAGGAGAGACTGCTGACAGAACAGAACATACATGTGAGCTCCCGCATATATTTTGGTGCTGAAAAGAAGTTTTAGTTCTTCTTTTACCTGTCTCATTCATAACCCTGCAAGTCACATGAGCATCCCGGAGGCACCCTGAGCATCCCATACTGTCTATAAGCAACCACGTAGGACAAACATTTCAGTCAGGTGGCAACAGAAAGCTTGAGCTTTCTGGCTAACCTCCCCCTGACTTTAAGTGCAGAGAGATATTGCTCCTTCCCTCCACTCTGGGGCAGCGCTTTGCTGCTGGTAGCCCACCTGGTCACAGCCAGAGCAGGTTATATCCCTGGGGAGATACAGAAGTGGACCTACCAGCCTGGAGAAGCTGAGTGCACTAATTAACTGGAGGAATAATTTCTGATCCTTTAAGTGGAGGGTATCTTACAACACAGCTTCAGCTACACAGTTAGCTACTACAATAGCTGTGATAGCTTTGCTGCAGAAATGAAGGTTCTTCTTTCCTTTAGAGAGGGAAGATATGAGTTCTTCCTGCTCGGCTTGTTTTATCTTTGATGTCTTAAGCACAAAGAAGCAGAGGAATCTGGCTCTATGGGCAAACCCTGAGGTACTGAGGTACGTCAGGTTGGTGATCCTTCTGTCCCAGCTGTATTGCCGTATGCCATGTCCTGGGCAAGGGTCCTGCATACCTGGCAAGCACGCTTCCAGCAAGCAGTGTACAGAGGAGAGGACGAAAGATATGATGCAAAGAAGGAAAAATTGTCACCCAGACAAACTAAGTCTGGGGATCAACTTTGCTCCAGGCTCTGTTTTATTCTGAGCTCTTTAACAGGGGCTCTTTTATTCTCCTTGTGGGGCTTCTGGCACAGTGTGGCCCCTGAGCAAGCAACAGATGTGTGTAACATGCACTTGCTCTGCACTCCGACACAAGTCATGAAATCATGCTGAAATTTTGCTGGAACCAATTTGACTACCCACGTTCAGGTAAAGTGTGCTTGGTTGGATCAGCAGCAGTTGGATCCTGAATAAAGCTCAAGGATTGTTACAGCTTCTGTTCCCTCTTTCTCCTTATAAGCCCTCTTCTCCTCCATAAGAAAAGCATCTTCTTCTGACAAACTGACAGAGATCTACCCCTAAATGATGACAAGCTAACACATGATTAATACCACTTGTACTCCGCATTAGTGAGAAAGTCTACTGCTTTTTCATCCAGCCTAACAGGACAGACTGGTGCCCGTTAGTATGTGACCCTGATCTGAGGCTACAGCTGCTGCCTGGAACCAGATGACCTACATTTGAGTGATGCAACCACTGCGTGAAGCCGTGCAGGGCCAAAGCACGGCTGGCTTGGCGTCAGGATCAACACTTCCTCAAGGGTCAACACGACCAGACACACCTTCAAGTCATGGGAAGCCACTGCAATGTCCCAGAGTTTGCTATGGAAGAGATATCCACGGTGGACAGAAATAGGGATTAGACAGAGCCCACACCAAGACCTCTTCACTCAGTGCGGGAAACCCACACACCCAAGATCACCACGTGTTTCTGGACAGCTGAGTTGCACTCTCAGCTCCAGCCCTATTCACACATTGACTTAATCTCAAGGAAATTCCATTATTACACCACAAATGTATATTTTTTGCCTTTGATTAGCCTTAAATTTGACAAAAAGTCTCAGCTATGAAACCCAGCTAATTGACTAACACTACTAAGCATGCAACTAGCTCATTCCCAGAACATTTTCTGCCCCTTGACTGTAATTTCCATTAGCTTTTAAGCCTCAAGCTTGGCAGAGCTATTACCAAGAAAGGACTTTCATCATCAGGTTCCCCATTATACAACTGCAGGTAACACATGCAGAAATAAACACCCAGGGCCAAGCTGCCTCTCACATTATTATTGATTTCCATCAGCAGTCTTGCAACGAGAATGGATTTGTCCTTTCACTCTAATTTGGCATCTGCCTTGTTAACGCATCCAGTTGCTGGAGAAAGCAGATTTGCCATGAAATTGTTTGCTGTAGAAACTGATCCTGGCAAGTGGCTTCATATCAGCTCCTATGAATTTCCTAAATCAGGAGACTATTTAATTCACCAGATCATATCACCTGATCATAGCTAGTACAGATTCTTTTGAAAAGAAAGTTTAAATAAGCCAAGAAACCTCCACTACCACAAAACTAAGGAGATCTGTCAGCAGCAACACTTCTGAACCCTGATTTCAAAAAAGCAAATTACCTAAGTCTCCAAGAAGGGATCAGGTCTGATAGGCCACCTTCCTGTGATTAAGGTTTTCATGATGGTGCTCTCTAATGTGGAATCTCTGGCGTCTATTAGCACAGTTTACTTCACAGCTCAATTACGTGAATTCTTTGATGTCTCATTATGCAGTTAAGCCCATACTCCATTTTCTCCCCGAGGCTCCTCTGCTCTCTCCAGACACTAATTTCCATGAAGCTCACAGGAACTTAATATCTCTGAGATAGCTGTCACTGCGCCACAATCAGCCAAGTTTCAAGAAGCATTTGGGCAGAGGGAGGTTTGGGAGAGAGAGATAAGGGGGCAAGCAGGCAGTGCCTAAGTATCTTTTCGGAAAAATCTAGCTTAAACACACCATTATACACCCCAAAACATGTGCACTGTGATAGCAAGGCTGAACTATCCTTTCTTGATCCAGCGGAGATAATCTTATTCCTTGCTCCATTTTCATCACTGGCCTTTGGATTACTCAGTCTTCTAAAACTAATCCAGATGCAGTACCACTTTGCATGATGATGATGAGCAAAGTGACTTTAAGAGTGAGAAACTATATTCTTCTACTTGCTCTGAAGCTGTTTTTTTATAATAGTAATAAAAAAATCACCATTCAGGAAACTCTCAGCTTTCCTCACTCCTTAGAATTCCACTCCAGGCTCTCTCCCTCCCTCTGCTTCATCCCCCTTCTCCTCAACACACACTCATGCTTGTCTTTCTTTAATTAAGAATATATTTTCTTAAATGTGCTTTCTGACTGCATTTCCTCTTTTTGTTTCTCCTCACTACTGTTAAACAAAGTAACATTGAAAGAAAATATCAACATCTAATCTCGTACCTTTTTATCTCAACATTTTTGATATAATTTAATCATAGTGCCTGAAAATATGGTTATGATACAACCACAAATTGCATATTCATTTTGTTGCCTACACCAGCTGTGAATCTTCGTGCCCCAAATAACTAGTGCTGCAACACCCAATATTTAATGGAAATCCTGCTGTTACCACAAGGATTGGCCTTCTAGAAAAATTCAGTATTTTGCAGCCTGCAGTTGCAAAAATATTTTTTTATTCTCAATAGATTTATTCTCAAATCCCCTTGATCTTAAGGAATGTTATCTAAGAGTCTATTTCTAGATATGATGGGGACAACATTTAATTGCACGGAAGACCTGCTGTTCTGGGGAGAAGTTTCCAAAAGGGGTTCAATATCAGAGGCTACTTTAGAAGATTTGAGCAATGCAGGAGGGAAAGACGGATAAAGAAAATCATCTGAGAAAAATAATAAATTTACCTGGAGTATTAACAGCATCTGGATAATAGAAGGTGGAACTCTGGCTCTGGAACGTGACAGCGCATCATCCAATTTAATATTGAGGGTAATGATATTCCTAAAGTGCAGAAGAGCCAGCTGCCGAACGGAGGGTTCCTTCCCCTTGGAAAGAGAGACACAACAAAAATGGATTACGAACTGTGTAAAAAAGAATGTCAAAATGCCGAGTCAAAATTCTTTCTTCTACTTCTGAAGGACTACCAGAAGAGCAAACATGAATGCAAAGCAGAGGCAACATGACAAAGGACAAAAACAGCCCACAAACACTCACCGTGAATTTGTTTGACTTGACAAAGACCAAGTGCATATTTACCAAGAAAAACTGATCTCAACTATGAAGATAGTGAGGGATTGAAGGGGAATCTTACCTGAGTGCAGAATATTCAAGAACATTTTGTATTTATTTCATATGCAATAAAATTAATAGAAAATAAAAAAAAGGTAGAGTTGAATTTTAAGTGACGGCTGGGCATTTGCTCTTTAGATTATGTTAGGAATCATGGCCAAAGTCTGCCTAGAATCTTCCTTCCTTCCAGAGTTTGGAAAATTTCAACATAAGGCAAGAACAGAGGTAAAGTTTCATCTACGTTTTCAAAGACATCTTTTTCCAACAAAAGAATCACATCTCACTGAAAAAAGTCTTCTCTGAAGAATATGGCGCTAGCTCTGCCTGTGGAGATTAACACCGCTTGCCTTACATCTGCTGCGGAGTTGTAAAACTATTCCAGTTGCTGGGATCAGGCCTTATTCCTTCGATATATGTGGCTGTAAATGTATATTCTTGCCTGCATTTCTGAGTACTGCCAGCCAAATATTTACCTTTCTGGAAAGCCTGGCACCCAGCTAATGTTGACTTCTCTTAATTTAGAATAAAATCGTCCGACACTCCCACCACTTCTTTTCACTTAGAGTAATTATTTATACTGAGGTAAAGAAAATCCCAAACGTGCTTAAACCAGTAGTGAATGGTATTTCCGAGAGCGTACAAGCACAAACTGTGCTTAGAACATAAGGCACCTAGACCCATTTGAAATTACATAGGGCTTGGGGCTTACTCCCTCCAGGCTCCCCTGAAAATTCAGGCTATTATTTCCACTTACAGGATGAGGAGTCTTGTGTTGCTGCATTATTTTCAAAGGCTCAGAAACATGGTCGTGAAAAAGAGGTATTGGTGCAATTTTCAAAAACATCTAAGTGAGTTCTAGTTCAGATAAGGGTTTTTGAAATCATGCTGAAATATTATTAAGTAGACTGGAATTTAGATTAGGTGGCACTTATAAAAAATCTAGCCCAGTGTTCTAATGGGTTTTCAATATCCTCCTCTTTCTACTGTTTTAGATGACATAACACAAGTCAATGGGTCATCCAGTCCTGTACGTCTTTACATCTCTTCTGATTCTAAAACAGAGCTACAACTTTGCCACAGAATTAAGATCTCATGCTTGCAATTACTTACAGATGGAAATGGTATTGGTAACAACTGGACAACTAATTTAGGCATAAAGTTCACTTGGAAAAATGCAAAAATGTTTACAAAGTTTCTTCAAACACACTGAAGTCAACACAGCTGCACTTATTTCACTGTGCACATATTTCAGTGTATTGTTCATATCCTCCTTATTCCTTTTAGCTCGAGTCCTTCTGACATAAGGACAATCTATCCTCTCTGTACACTCCTCCTATTTTCAAAGTTCCCTTTCATCGTTTTCAGCCAGGCACTTTCAAGCCAGGTTGCCTTAATTAACTTCTTTGCATAACATGACTACACAGAACAGCAGCACTGGGAAGTTGGCCAAGGCAGAGGCAGTTAAGGATTGCATCAATCTGTTGATGAACCAGTAAAGCTGCTTCTTCCAGTTTTTCAAGATTCTATAGTAACAGAGTAAGTTTTCACCTGCACAGGATAGAAAATAGCCTGAAGCATGGGCAGGACATCACTGAAGAAAAAATCCCAGGTTTCAGCTAAGGTATCCAGTAGTTTCTGCCCTGCAAAAACACAGAACAAACTGGTCATTAGTTTAGGTTATCATCAGCTAACTGCAAAGACTAAGAAACACAGGAAATGATGCAAATCTGCTAGTTGTTCACCAAGATGAATCATTTACCAGATACTTTTAGTAGTATGGGATTTGTATTCCTTTTGGGATATCAGATTGGTGTCTTTTAGAGGCAGATGCGTCAGCCAGAGATCTTTGGGAGAGGAATTGGGACTAAGGAGCTGAAGGTTGGCTTCCCACCCCTGCTGCCCCAGCTGGCCTGGGTGACTTGGGCACGGTGATTTCTGTCCCTGCACACCTAATCTGACTGTGGATGGGGAAATTTCCACTACGCCTCCACCAGCAGCTATTACGGAGATAAATACATGAGGCATTCAGATAAGACAGTATAGCTTATCGGGTAGCAAATTCATTATCCATGAGTCAGGATCAGCATGGTATCAGAATCAAATATTATCCTTAATATTTGTATTATACTATTACTTAGGGCCCCAGCCAGGGAGCATTTCTTCCTAGTTTTGCACACAAACATACAGAAACAGATTGGCAAGACAGCATCTACAATCGAAGGCAGTCGAGTACTGATCTTTATGACAGGGTACTTGATCTTGCTGCATTTTTTAAGTGCCTGACAAATAGCACCAGTTTTGGCATGTCTGCAGCTCTTGAATTACTCTTGAGTGGATGGCGCTAAATGCTTCCAGTGACAAACCTGAATCACCAAGCTACACTGCAGCTGCTGGCTTGTGACCTACTCCAAGGTTGTTGCTTCTGCATCATCGGGGTGGGATCCTCTCTTACATACTCATGCACGGGACTAAGTAAAAAATATCCTGTCAGCTTCTCTTTTTAATTCGTCTTAAATTAGTTCTAGTGAACTACAGGGAACACACAAGGAACTGTGTCCAAAATTTCCTAGCAGTAGTAATAGCAGTAATAATAATAAATACTGTTGCATTTATGGACAATATGCTAGAAGTTTTTCAAAGACAGAAATCTTGCTCACAAGAAGGACTCTAGCTAGTCTAAAGCTTGAGGGCAGAATTTAAAAGAGTTAAATACATTAGTTACTCATAAGTTGAAGCTAAATTGAAACCAACCCCTGGAACATATTTGGCTCCAAAAGTGGGTGCTGAACACTTAGAATTTTGGTCCTTCTGAAATTTTTCTCTTAGAATTGCATGAAGTCAAATTGCCCTGTTGGGATAAATATGCCTTTACTGTAGCACATTCCTCTCATCCTGTGGGCAGTTTGTTTTGTTAAGTGATGGATTTCTGTGCAGCAGCTCAGAAAGGCTGCACAGTTAGCTATTTTTTGCCAGGCAGGCCTATTCCTGTGGGCTGTGCAAAAATCCCTAGAGTCTGTAGACGATCAGCATCTTTCACACAGAGGAATGTGACTTCTGGGTACGGTCAAGAATAGGTTTGTTTTATTGTCAGACAAAGATCCCTACGCTTGCCATAAGTACATACTGCATTCAAGGAAGCTGGGGACATCTAAATGCTCATTTTATTGAAGCACAAGTACAGCACTGGGAGGGGACCCCTGCTTGGACAGGAATTCCCAGGATTTCCATGCTCCCAACTTTACTTCAGTACTTTAGAGGTCCAAACTATGGGGCCAACAAATACAGGAGGAACCCTGCAGTGATGGCACCTTTGCCTCCAGCCTCAGAGAGACACATCCATCAGCCACGCTGTGAGAACCCTGAATCTAAACCCTAAATTACAGCTATCTTTCTAAAACTTCCCAGTTTTGGTGAGTTGACACTTGCAAGAAAGCACTTGGAAAATACGTGACCAATTTAATCATCACATCACCAGCAATTCTGACCGTATTTTAAGGGGGTGCCAGAAGAGGATACACTGAATTCAAAACCAAAATAAACTTTAACAGCTTGCTGAAACTTTATTTTTGCTAAACATGCTCCTATATTTGAAAGTGGCCTTCCATTTCAGTTTTTGTTCTCAGCTTTGATTTCAAATATTAGAGGTAGTATTTTGATTTTCAAGCTGATAAAAATAGAAGAAAAGGGGGTAGGAATGTAGCGGTTTCCTGGATTTAATTTGTCAATATGACACTTGAAAGACAACTTCCTTTGTCATTTGCGAAGCAGCTGTGAAGGCCTTGCAGGCCTCAGCTCCCCTTGTGCTCTCCAAGCACAACTCCAACTGTTATTTTATATAATTGAGGAATTCTGTGTTCAGCTTAGAAGAGTTTGAGTACTTGAAATGTGAAATTTGGGCTCTTTTTTGCTGTGTTCAGGGCTATTTTCTTTTCATCAGAAAACGCGGGTCCCAGAGCACCATCTTAATCCAAGCAGATGTCCCGTCAGTAAGGAAAGGTCACAGTTAAGATTTACAGATAGCTACAACTAAGGGAAATGGTTGTCTCCAGGCTAGTGCTAACACAGTATATTTAGACTAAGCGGAATTATAACTGTGGCCCTCAAAGCTAAAGGAAAGCTACATTTCTTTAAAATCATCTCAGACTCCCCCTAAAGATCCTCAAATTATTTACACGTACAATCATCTTATGAAATATTCAGACATCTTTTCGCTCACTGACAACGCATAGCTACATCTAGGACAAAATAATGTATTTAATAGCACATCTAAATGCCGTACAGTAGCACAGGACATGAAACGAGGGTGATTGCAACGCTGGAAGTGACTCAAGCAGGATGTATTTGCCCATATTAAAATTCTACTTATGCACTGGCTTTAGCACATGTGGACAGTACTTTCTTTCTGCGTTTAGACAGTCTCATTAAAAAAACTAACCCAGCTTAGTGTCTTTTGCAGCATTCGCACTAACAAGGAGGGGAATGAGTGGAGCAACAAGAATATATTTAGTGCAAGCAATAACTGTATCAGTCTGGAGTGATTTCTCACATTTCTCTAGATTTGCACAAATCCACATAAAAAAGTAGAAAGTGATCAATACTCTCAACTTCAGCCACTGTATTATTTCTTTTTTAATTTGGACTTTGCCACTTTGAATATAAAAGGAATTTTCTTGTTGCTTACTTCCACACATTGACACCTCCATAAGCTGCAGACTGACAAATGGGGCCTTGGCAGTGAAACAAGTCCTTTTCTGGCCTCATTAATGAGTGCATGAATCCAGAATAATGCTAAAAAAAAATGAGCACAGCATTATTCTGGACTTGACCAGACACTTTACCTAACTGAGACTGCAGCCCTCAGATTTTTTTTTAATTAAGATATTTCACTCTCCTCTTCCACTTTTCCTTAAGGCTATAATTTGAGCTACAGAAAGCGCCCAAGTTGGAGGCAATCTTTCCCTTATATTTCCTAGCTGCTGCACTAAGCAATCACCTCTCCTTGATGAAAGCCAATGGGAACATTAAGGCAGGATAGGACAATAGATTGCAGGAATAAATTGATATAATTAATGCATAATCCAGGGAACTGGGTGAAAACAGCGTCACTGCCTTGAGGATGCTTTTGCATCTGTGACAGACATAGATAGCCATGCTAAAATCCAAATTACCTTCATAAAACCGGATCTTGTCCCTTAGGATCACCATGCCTTTTGTAAGCAGCTGATTCTGTAAATAAAACATAAATTGCCTTTACTCAGTTCTATACTTCCCTGCAGCCATAATATTTAACATTTTATTCTTCCTTAACATTCAAAAACAGAGGCCTTTCATTTTAATAACCAATTAAACAACTGTTCCTCCCTCATCCATCACACTTAAATCCCTTGGGACCCTTGTGAAAGGATGATAGTTACGTAACTAACTGCCTAACACTTGCAGAACACAGCCCCTGTTCTGAGGTACACAGAGGGTTTTACAGCCTTCAAACGACTGACCCACACAGCACATAGCATATAGCATACTTATTTGAGTAGAAGGAATACTGTATTTTAATAGACAATGTTTACTGATTGCTAGATGGCTTTCCTATTTGCTACACTGCACTAAACTTAACAGGTTTATTCAGTAGCTTAAATTTTAAAGCTAAAAGAAAATGTCTGGAACCCATCAAAAGACAGCAATTTCCTACAAAACCCATTGGCTCCATAAATCTATTCCGCTGGTTGAATTTTCATTATCTAACTATATACATACATATATACATGCATATATACATATATAAATTCCAAATTTGATCACTGCAGAAATGACACACAGGGCCTAATGCAGACCACAGAAAAAACAGTGGAAATCTTCAACTGATTTCAAAGGGTTCCAGAGGAGCATTTACACTGGATGAAACAATTTTGCTGGTAGCTTATTAAAAATGAATAATTCAGTGAAAGAAAACACATGCCTACCTGTAGATATTCAGTGAAAAAGGATCCCAGTTCTGTTTTCAATAATTGCCTGTATTAAGAGGAATAAGAAAAGGACCTATGTAATCAACAGATCATCATAAAGATGAAGCACATGGAAAAGGAGAAGTCAGCGACAGCAAAATATCTGCATGTGAACATAGCCTGACAATAAAGTGTAACCAGAAGCGTAACAAATGGGTTAGGAACGCCGAGCATCTCAGCCAGCACTTCTACGTGTTGCAAAAATACCCGCCCTGCTTTTAGATGGCCCAGTTGGGCAGAAATACAGATTTGACAGAGACAGAGCCTCTTCACAAGCTCCGAGCTACCCTGATTGGCCAGCGCGTCGCGCTCCAGGCGCGGGACAGCCCCTTGTGCTCCTGCCAATGCGCGGGGATGCGTGAGCACCGCGCACACAGCTCCTCCGAGAGGTGCCCGCGGGTGAGCGAGCTCTGCCCCGCAAAACTTCAAAGCTGTGACAAAATGCATCGGGAAACCCGAAACATGATGATATGTTTGCGGATTTTGTCACAGACCGGAACCTTGCAGAATCCGAGCCAGCTGAAGTTTCGTAAGGTTTTAGTGGAAAAGCAAATGGAAATTTAAGCATTTAGCTCTGTATTTAGTTCTCTGCACTAAACAAACAAACAAAATCCTAATCTGACAACAACTCACATGCAGCAAAATTCCGACAATTCAGCAACTGATTTCAAGCAGATTGCCAGGCTCCAACTCAGTACCTGGACAAAACTCACTGCACTGCTGAAGAGCTGTTGGTCAGTTATAACTCCCATGTTGGATGCTAGATGTTTAGCACTTCCCTGCACCAAGGTCATCATTATGCACCTACATGAGAGCTCAGACCTTATAAAAATGTGGCCTCAGCTCAGTTTTCTGAACACTTGCACATCTGGCCTAGAGCTCCTTTCAAAATCTGTCTCTTTACAGCCATCTCAGGTACCCAAAGGAAACGAGCTAAAACTCTATTTAAAAGCTATGAAATTTATGTTTTAAAGCTACTTAATTTAAATCTAGAATCTGTTTTACTAAATCTAAATCTATTTAAAATGTATTCATATTTAAAATGCATACATCTATTTATTTAAAAACTATTTAAGATACAATTTGATTAGGCCACCAAACACTGTGATCAATTGTGTAGTTTTCCAAAACATATAATTGGTGTATGTCATCATGTATCTCTCAGAGTTTCATCTTTCAAATAAATCCATCATCTTGAGATCTTGATTCATCATCTTGATATCTTCTGACAAGGAGAAAATGGCCATCCTGAATGAGGCCAAAATATAGTATCTTGTTCATTTACCAATACAGTTTGACCCCACAGCCCTTTTCATGGCATTGTTTCAAATAAATAAATAAATAAATGAAATAACCAAACACTACCCAATACTTCATGCCCTCAACCTTTGTTTAAGCTTCTACCCTTTCACAAATAAAGACCTCTCTAGAGCCTGGATTCCTCTGAGCCTTCAGCAGGTGACATCCAAATACCAAATTCCCTTTCTGCACTTCAGACCCTACTGCTAATTCCCAGCACTGACATCGGGAAATAGAAGACGAGGGTCCGTTTAGCTGCTGCCTATCCCTTCGACAAACCCAAGCCCACCAGGTTTCCACTTTCCAGCTCTGAACGAACCAAGCACCAGGCCTGTAGCTAATTCTGTGCACTGGGCTGCATCGCACCAAGCAGCAGCACAGACGCATCAGCATCTCCGTCTGCAGGGCAGAACTGACAGCACAATTAGTGCCTCTGGCTCTTTCAACCCCTAATAATGCAGATGGATACTTCATGCTTCCTTAATTAATTTCTAGCGAAATAGTGAGGCCCTCGGACTGCATTATAATACCAGTGTTACAAAATCATGATGTTCTCAGTAACCATATTCCCAGCAAAACTGGATCCAGTACACTGCTTGCATTTTCATCCTTGCCTGATGTCCTTTAACAAAAACTAGTAGGGTTGTCATCTACCCAGTTCTGGATAATTCTGATTGCTAAATAACTTCCTCTAGATATACAGGTATCAGTGGTGCAAACCAGGTGAAAAACTGATTAGAGCAAAGGAGGATTCCTCTTCAGATAGGGGACCAGATTTTAAGTGCATCTGATTTTGCTGACAGCTCCTTTGTGCTCTTATGACACTGCCATCCACTGATATTGGGTCTTCATTGTCTATTTAATGACTTCATAAATTAAGGTGATAACTTCCTGTTGCTGCTTCTTTGGTTCACCTTGAAATTAACTCTTGAAGCATTATTCAAGAAATAATAACAGAAAGTCTAGCACTGCATATATCTGACTTTATTAGCTATTAGATTATAGAGCAAAATGAAAAGAAGTGGTTTTACTGGGGCTGAACTCTTGATACAAAAGAGGAAATGGCAGTAAAACGTGCTTTGTCTGCATCAAGCCAATATTCTGAAACTCAGGAGAGAGGCAGCTATAAATATGTATTAGCCTTAATACAGGACATCCTGCTTCCTCTGTGTCTCCCTAGCCTTCTTTTTCTTCCCTGGTTTTCAAATAGCTTTGAATTAGCTGCATTGTAAAAAAGGAAAACATTACAAATCCTAATAAGCTTCTTGCCCAATCCCCAGTTAAACTACACGGCAAAGGCTCAGGATAAGTTACATACTGGTCAGACACTGGTGACAATCTCTGTTATCAGAACATCTTCTCTCCTCACCACCTTGCTGTGCTCCACTAGCCTTAGCTTGAGCACAGATATTCAGGATCAACAGCAATATGAAAATCACATATCCATTTTTACTGGTAGAAGGGCTTCCCAGACTGCATGTAACCCCATATTTAAGGCCACTTTCTAATGCTAGAGTTACACAATGCCAGAGAGCATTGGTGTAAATGAGACTGGGTTATTTTTGTTCTATGCTGCAGTATTTAGATACTGTAATGAATGTCAAGCACAGTGGGTTATTACATTTTTGATATATGCTTGCAATTTTAGTTATAACTTATTCCAGCCCCAGGAATGTCCACCCTTTTCCCCTTCTGTCTCTATGTTGGCTGTGCATTGGGTTTTGTGACATCCTAACATCTCTCCTGTACAAGAGGACCCAAATGAAAACTTTCAATTAGACGGTATAAATTTTTTGCCTTGGATGAGGGGGAATCAATTCTGGGTTCTGTCGTTTCGATCATTACAGAAATTTTAGAGAGGAGTAATTCATAGATCATGGGATGAAAGCAAAACCCACCAACCAACTACTAACCAACCAAACAAATCCCCTATATTCCTATTCCTGCAACCCTACCCCTGCGGAGCAGACAACGATCTCATTATAGCAGTGCTATATTGGAATCGCATAAACACACTGTACAGCAAACGTTTATTTTTTGTCTCCCTTGAGGAAAGAGCGGAAGAACAGATCACATGTTTGGAGAGGAAGAGGCACCTATGCTTTTGTAAGCCAAAACGAAAGCAGAAGGAAATGTCGTGCATACATGTGTACCCCACGATCACTTAGTAAATAACCCGTGCAGAAATAAGTAGAGCAAAAAGCCTCTCGATCTGTGTTCAGAAAATGAAGTCATGTATGTAAGTATTTGCACATGCATGAAAAAAGTAGTTGAATATATATGACATTAACAAGTCAAAGTGAAGATATGCCACTATTGCAGACAGAACATTGCTGAAATACTAGTATTTAGTCTGTGAGTCAACTTAGAGGTTCAAGGTTTGGTTATGAAAACCATCCCAGAATCTGCTCTAGTTAAACGGATAAAACAAAATAGCTTATTTTACTCTCCATTAAAAAAAAGTCTTCAGTATCAGCCATTTACCTGAAGATTTACACACTCCAATTTTGCTCAGTTGGAAAAAGCAAGTAGATGTTCCTTTTTTTTAGGTACCTGCTGAAAATGTGCATCTAGAAAAATTGGAGGGCAAATACATATTGTTTCACCTCTTAAGTCATATTTATGAATCTGATATTTTTTGCATTAAATAATAATATTAACACAAAGAAACTACTTTGAATAAAATAGCAACAGCAGCAACTTAGGTATTTTTGATACATGTGAAATCAGTAATTTCTTTTTAAGTTTTGAATTGAAGTGAGGAAAAAGGACCTCAGTTGTAAATAGCCAGGAGTACTAGAAAGGTTAATGCCTGAAGTCAACCATGAAATGTAGCAAGCAGAGGGAGTACAGTTTTTGAACAGCAGCTGCAGCTGGACGTGTGAACAAACACGCTTAAAAATACCACTGCTACGGTTTCCTCTTACGACAGATCTCCCAGCTGTCTGCCCTGTCCTCTTAGTCCACTTGCAGCTTTCTCATTTTCATTTGTTTGTATGAATAACCATCAAGCGGGATACTCACAGGGAACCTTTGGAAAACAAACTCCATGCAGAGGAAGGACAGCGTTTGGTAGTAAATGGGAAGGATGCTCGGGCCAAGCTGGATGTAAGAGGAAAAAACCCACTAAGTGGCAGAAAGGCTGCTGTGGTTTTAGCCTGGCCAGGGTTATGCCTTGGATGCCTAATTTGTGAGAGCAGCTCTCTAGCACTATATGCATATGTGTGTGTATATACATATATATATATATATACATACAGCCTTGTATCTCATTTAATTAACTCTACAGTGAGGGTGATCGAGCACTGGAATAGTGAAGTCTCCTTCTCTGGAGATCTTCAAAACCCGCTTGGATGCAGTCCTGTGCCACGTGCTCTAGGTGACCCTGCGTGTGCAGGGGGGTTGGACTAGATGACCTCTAGAGGTCCCTTCCAACCTTAAGCATTCTATGATTCTATGATACATACACATTTTTTTTTTAATCCAGGTAAACAGAAGCAAAATCTGGTCATGATTCACCAAATAACATCTATCTTCTATTTGCTCATCCGTATAAGATTGTGTTTGTCTCTGTGGCACCAGCAGAAAACTCCTATTCCTCTCCTGCCTCTCCTCAGCAGGCAGGCATCCTGAGGCAGACACATTGGGCCAGGAAATCTCAGCCCAACAGGACAATTCCTCGTCATTCAGACAAAGCTGGAGAATCCAAACTCTCTTACAGCAATAATGATCAACCATTATTCCAATAACTAACTCAAAGTGATTGATGGATCACGCTCACTGACAGTCACCCCAGAAAAGCTCTTCTTTTGTATCTGTCATCTTCTCCCAGCTGAAGAATGAGTTTATTTTAATTCAAAAAAGAGAAAGGGAGAGAGAAAGAGTTCACAGGCCATATGTCATCTCTGACATGGACATCTCTGAAGACATTTCTATAGCGAAAGGAACCTGGCAGGGCTGGTGCTTTCTGGGTATTCTATGGATTTTGTCAGACGGGCTGATCCCAGCTGCAGTGGGAACAAGTGTCAGGGAAAGGGAATCACTGAGCCTCTTACCTGAAGATTGCTAGGAAATATATTAAGCTGTGTATCTTTTGGAGTGCTTCTTCAAATTGTGATAGTTTATTCTTCAAAGTGCTGGGACAAGTTGCCAAAAGGAAACAAGCTACCTTTGGCCTTGTCAGCAACAGGGAGTTTAATAAGCAATAATATGTGCTCTAATAAGCACTAATACCTAAAGTGCTGTAAATCCAGATACCACTTTAGCTCTTGATAGTATCTGCATCTGTAACTTAAATGACTTTTTGCCCTTTTTTTTTAAGAAAAAATACACCATTTTTTAGCTCAGTCTCTGTTTATTCGGTTACAAACACCGTTTCAGCACTGTATGAGGAAGAAACGGGAACCTGAAGTTGTGTTTTCCAGATTATCATGCTGACAAGACAGCTGTATAACATCTCTGGTGTATTCTGCCTGCATAGAAGGAGAAGCTAGACATGAAGGATCTGAAGCCAGGACTTCCTTCTGCATCATGTCACAGCTGGGAGGCTCTACAACCTCCATGGGTGTCAGGGATGATTCCCAGAGCTAGGCCTAGCAGCTAGGGAAAGGACTAGGTGTTGACACACATAAACAACAACTATTCATGAAAACCCAGTCAACGCTACTGCTTCAAATGCATTCCACCAGGAAAGAAATATTGCTGTAGAAATCTATGAGCACGAATGCTAACAAAATCTACTGTGCAAGCTGGCTAATAATATTCTGGTAATCCAGCAGAGCCACTCACCTGACTCCTTCATTGAGGTTGTAGAGCTCATGGTCCGGGAGACCTTTCCGCTGGAACACTGCTATTACTCCATTATGGATACTGAAAGAGGAAGTGAGGAGACGTCAGTACCTGGCTACGTTTGAGGAAGGTATCATGTCCAGGATAAGCCAAACATCTCTTTCCAGAAGACTCTTAAGACCTTTTTAAAAGTTGTAGGTGATTTCTAGTACGGCACCTCAGATAAAGTCAAAGTCATCATTTTTAAAGTCATCATGGAATTACTCTCCAGAAAACAGACACCGTTTTGGAAAACCATTTCTTTTTGATATATTCCAGCTTGAGAACATCAGAAGTTACACCTCAAATATCAGGCATCTCAGAAAACGTAAGCTCATGTATTTTAAGTAAAATAAAAGTCTCACTACAGAAACAATTAACCACTTCACTATGAGATCAGTGATGACGTTTTTCACCCTGTTGGCATATGCTTGTTTGAACTATGGTTAGGTGACTTTCTAACAACTTATCGGCATTTATCAAGTCTGGACACTACGTATAAAGTTCAATGCACAAACACAGCATTCCTTTACTAGGACATGGTTAGTGGAGCTTAACAAGAATGATTAGTTCTTTAAAAATCTGAAAAAGAAAAATAGACAATGTACACTTTTAAGGGTAATATATTCATTCTCTCAACCACTTCCCGAAGAGAAATAATAAAAAGAGGAGTGAAGTTTACCACAGAATTGATCACAAGGCCTGCTTACCATCATCATTCATTCATTTCTCAAAGATTTATGCTATGGCTGTGCCTAGAGGGAAAGCCAAACTGAGCTGAAAGAGCAAGAGATCTAGAGCTTCTGCAGTGGAGACATCAGTAGAGGAGGTGACGGGCCAGGCCTGGGCACAGTGGAGCTCTTCCAACCATCTGCCCTGCTCAAATGCTCCTTTTTCATTTTCAAAGCCATTTGTAACCGTTCTCTAAGCAGACCCTGCTTGGAGGCGGTGATTTTCTGCTGCACTCAGTAGCAACTCAAGGCAGGATGAGGACAAAATTCCCCACTGCAACAGCATGAAGTCACTTATCCAACACTCTCGCTGTGGCATCTGGCTCCCAGTCCTGTGAATCCTAGGATGCCAAACAGCAAAAACCTGCCAGGTGTCCTGTGCTGTTCAGGACAGTCCCATGGGTTTAACAAGACTGCACCTCCAAGGGTTGATGAAATGAGCATGTGCTTCAAGATCAAGCTCTGAAATACTTTTCCAGAATTAGGGATCTAAAATAGTAGGAGGAAATAGAAGTCTCCTTTCTCTTCCCCAACCTAGTGCTGTCTTTTATAGCTTCACACCAGATTTCAGCTTTGATTCCTCCAGAAATAAGACTCATGTAGCCCTTCCATCTGTCAGTTAATCCCTGTTCCTCAGCTCAGTTTCTACCACATTTGACTTTAGAACCGAAGTCCCCAAAACATCAAGTTCTTTTGTGTCTCAGCTGGAGTGGGAGAAGTCCCCTCAGTGATTCACCTGCAGCGGGGTGAGCTCAACCTTTCTTAGCCACACAGATGTCTAGCTCCTAGGCACTGCTACAAGAAAGCAGGCTATATCAGCCCCACTGCTCATACAAGCACTACCAACTTCTAATACAGTGCGTTTTCTTAACTAAAGTGACCATTCGTATCACTGGAAGTGATTATTTTCTGCCTGCCTCTGTTACCTCACTTATAGTATAAAGATGACACTACAGTATTTTGTGAAATATCTTCAGATAATCCAAACTGTGCTGTGCATCTTCTCCCAAGGTTTTTCCAGCGACTCCACAATCCTGTTCTTCTGAGCTCTCCAATGGCCTCCCCAATCATGCTGTGCTGGAGCCTAATAAGATGCAGCAACAAGCAGCTTTTGAGCCCTGGAAAGAGAAACCTGGGCCAGATTTGCCTGTCTTGAAGGAGGCCAGGATTTGGGTTTGGCCTGTCTTGTGAAGAAGAGCCGAAGGTGAGTTTGCTTCAGCAGAAACCTAGCACAGAAAGCCGGGGTCCCACAGGCAGGGGAGCTCCGCAGGGCTCGACCGCATCCGGCAGCGCTCTGCCAGTCCCAGGCATCACTACAGGGTCAGAACAAGACTTGCCACTGCCAGCCTGAAGCCCTGTACATGCAAGGTAGGTTAAAGGCATGCTGTGAGCGTGGGCACGTTCCCTGGCACTGCCTGGCAGCACACAGAGGTCCCTCTTCCCCAAAATCACTCATGTGCACAGACTAACAATACAAGGCAGCTTGCTTTGACTCAAATTGACAATTATTTAAGAATTGGCATCTAAAAGCCTCGGTATCCAACGAAACGACTCAGGTGCGTTTAGTATTACGAGCAGTATGTGGAGGATGATCAATGTAGCGGAGAAAACAAGCAGCCTTCACACGCTCCTCTGCTTTGGAAATGAGCTTTGCGATGCTGCCTGCCACCCTGCTGGAGGCAGGAATGAGTAAATCTCTCCTTGCAGTCGGGCTGCTCCCTCTCTTGCACTCTCCTAATCGAGGGGGAGGTTCTCCTGCCCAGCCTAACAGGTCCCTTATTGCTCCTTGGAGAAGTAGTAGAGAGCAAGCATTCTCACCAAGAGCTGGGGGGACAGACTGCAAGCGTCTAAGTGCTGGCCTTCAGCAGAGCTGCACCTACTTAAAGCATCCCGGTGGCCACCCTCTCACCTGCCTGGGGGCTTCGGAGAAGCTGCAGAAGTGCCTTGTGCCCACGAGGAAGCCTTAGCTGCTGCTTCCACCCCAAGGTCCTGCAAGACACCCGAGGCGGGTGGATGTCCTTTAACCTGTGCCTGCGACCAGTCTCCACTGAGGGTTAGGTCATAACGTATGTCATTAAACTTGTATTTTAATAGTTCAACCTAAATTGGAAGTGCTTTATAAACTCTCTTCTGCAACTCTTTTACAACACGCAGGTTAATAATGGGTGCCCTCTTGCTCTCATACTGCTATGAACTCCACAGAAATGCGAAGGGAAGTGCTGGGGTGGTATCGCTCAACCTGAACGCGAGCGCCAGGATGCGACTGATTCTGCCGACGCTCACAGGCAGCAGAACTGCCCGAGTGCCAAGACAGGAGGGCGGGGATGACGCTTCCGCAGTGCCAGCCGCTGCCTGACTCACCTGCTGTCGCCACAACACAGATGTCACTGGAGTCCCGGGCTGACTGCCCAGGTGCCACTGCCTGGTGCAAGCGGGAGGGTGTCTCCCTTGGGCATTTAAGTGGTCCTTCCACTGGCAGCTCTAAGGAACTGCGCAGGACAGCTGTTGTGATTAAAGCACTCTTTTCTGTTAGCTCAGAAACAGTTTGTCCCTAGAGCTGAGGAACAACTGCAAAACTGGGGTTGCAAATCTCTGTCCAAAATCTGGAGCAGCTGCTTGTTTTGACCATGCTCATGGTCCTCTCAGTTTGCTATTTACTGGCCAGGCAGGTGGTGTGACCCAAGTTTTTGCTTATGCACAACACACAAAACTTTTTGTTCTCTAAAGCAGTCACTACCTTTGCATGCAAACAGCGCGGGTGAAAACACCACAACATTTTTGTTTACTGTTTGCAAATCCTCTTGGTTAAAGAGTTGCAAGCAAAGAGTCAGTGAGCAAAACCAAGCCTGTGTGAATAACCACACATCACCAGCACGGTAGAGTTGAAGGGCAACAGTTTCAGAAGGGACTAAGTGGCTTAGGGCTCATCTTACTTGGACGTTTATCAGAACAGCTAATAAATATATCAATATATCAATAATTAACCCATCTAAGCCTCCTCAAAGACAGTCTTGTTCCAGAATAAAAGTCTGTGTTTCTAAATTAGCTGAATCCAGTTTGAAAACCCCATTTTCTGGACTGCCCGCAAGTTAAGTCCCGGCGGTATCCCCCAGGTTTTCCATGAGGCCCCATCCTTTTCAAAACAAGATCTCAGCTTCCAATTGCCTTTCGTCTTCCAAATTCCTGCTCAAGGTCAAACAATCTGCAAGGAGGGATGGGCCACAAGTAGGCACAGCATCGTACAAGTGAAAACACACCGGGCCTGCCAAACCCAAAGCCTTCAAAGCGTTCTGGAGACATTAATTCACAAGCCTCGCCAAACATAAACACTGCTGTTGCATATGAAAGGGTTGAGACAGGTGAAGGGACTTCCCTGAGGTGTTCCAAGGAGCTAATGCCTCCGTGCAGTGAGATTTTGGCTTCCAATTATAGCTATACCCAAGCACAGGTAGGTCTGGAGGGCTAAGGAACGACTCTCTCTCCTCTCCCTGCCTCCTGTTACTGCAGTCCAGGCCAGCCCGTGCTGGTGGCTGCTGCCATCAGCCAAGTCCCTTCATTTCACTGTCCTTCCTCCCAAGAGGGTGGCACTTGGGAGGCCAAGAAGCAGAAGATGGTGCCCAGGCAGAAAGAGGGCTTGCCAAGTAAACACGAAATACTGCAAACAGCAGCATTTCCTAGTAGAAGTATCAGATAAATATGCCAGTCTGAAATGTTTTCTCCATTCAGAAAGCCTCCCTGTGATCTGAGCAAACATTCATTTTTAATTAGCAGATGAGATATGGTTCCCATGACTGTAAAAATTAATTTATAGCAAGCTATTGTGCATACTACACCCTGTAAAAATTAGCCCGATCCGTGAAATTCTTTCTGACTCCATGTGCCTCCTTGGATTTGCTGCTGATCCCACTAATGGAACAGGTATCTCATATCTATATTCTTCGCCTCTTCCTTGCTATCTCCCACTCCCACAAGTCTTCTCCCTTTTCTTGCACCAGAAGGGACCTCAGCGTCCTTCATTATCGGCTTTCTCAAGCCTGGCTGGGGCAGGGAAAAGCTCCTGAAGGATTTCATTTGCCTCGAGAGGGGCCCCAATGGCTGGCGGACTAAAGATTAAAAACCCTGCTCTTCTCGGCCCACTTGGTTGCTTCAGTCAGCATTCAGCCCTTGTTTTTCGCCTGAAGCTGGAGTGGAAAAATAAAAAAGCAGGAATCCAAGACAACGTTAGTGAAAAAAATCCCAGCTATTTTAATCTGACGCAAATTCCGCGAGCTGTGGTGAGGCGGCGCCGTGTCGCCGGGCTGCAGCGGTGTGGGCCGACGGGATGGGGCGCAGGGAGCGCGTGGGGCCCGGGCAGCGACGCCGCAGCGTCCTCGTGGCGCAGCAGCCGACAGCCGCCCGGCCAATCGCCCTCCCTCGGATCAACAGGGGTTGTGCAGCACTCGACTTCTGAGGTGGGGAGGAAGAAGCCTCTTCCCCTCTGGGGAGAGCCTTGTGCTATTACATAAGAAGTAGAGGGTTTTCGCCAGCTCCCCGCAGCGCAACTCTTCCATAACCCGCGTGACTTGTGGCAGCATCGGGGATTTGAATTTCCTTGCAAATACCAGGAAAAGGGGATCATTTTCCACTTCCAAATGAGGCTGCCTTTCCTCAGACCCCTCACTCGATCCCACAGGAGCTGGAAGCACTCATCCAGCTCCTGCACATGGGCACAGAGAAGGTCTGAGGGTCACGTTCTGCCACCTCCTCTCCCACCACACGGGATCTCATCCCCTGCCGACTCCAGTGGGGCTGCTGGCCTAGCAAGGGACTAATTGACCTGAGGCCAGGGAGCAGGATCTAGCCTTTAATTAGCACCTCCGGAGCATCCTTGGGTTATTTAAGCAGCGAGATACGCTGAACAGCAACTCTTTAGCAACCAGAATAGTTTAAGTGCTCAGTGTGCTGCTGGCATCCAACAAATAATTCATAATAAAGGCCTCAGAGTGCAACTACTGAAGTGAGAGCAACAGAAGATGTAGTATTTTCTACTTTTCTTTTGCTCGGAATTGAATTGTTTTTACTAAGCACATCTATAATTCACTGATATTTTCCCTCTCACAACCACATCTCCAAACAATTATAAAACACCACGGGTGACACGGTCCAAGCTAGGTGACCCAGGAAATGACATTTCACTTGCAAAAGGGCAAAAGAATGCAATTCCTAGGGACTCACAGAAGACTTAGGCGTACCTTTAAAAAACGAGTGTCGCTGAAAAGGCTGTTAGGGTGAAAACTCAGAAAGCATCATAAGTCATTCACCAGAAAATGTTTTCCTGATTTTTTTCGGGGGTGGGGAGAGGGTCAGACATTAAAAGAATTCAAATTTTTCAGCAGAATAAAGAAAACCAGCACAGACTGTTCTTCCTTGTTCAAAGCGTGCACACACGCACAGAGATATTTACATTAAGGTCGGCGAACTGAACAGGCTTTGTCACGTCGGGCTCGCCGGTGAGCACTATACCTAAACAGCAACACGGCCACAGCTCAGCACGGAAGGTTTGAGGCTCCCTGTCCTCATTGCGGGGGGCAGGCGCGCGGCGCGAGCCCTTACCTGTTCCAGGTGGCGTTGGAGCAGGCCCGGCGCTGCTGGCTCCCCCGCTCATCCAAGGCTGCCTGCTCTCTCTTGCCCAGATCACTGAGGCTGGGCGAACTCATGAACTTCAACCTGCGAAGAGTCCTCATGGTCAAACGCGTGCTTGCGCGGGGCAGCTACAGATACACCATCCTGTCCACACACACACACACGCTGCCGGAGCGGCAGCGGCAGCGCCAGCACTCCTCTCCGTCTGCTGGTCAAAAAGAACAGAGACTTAAAAAAACAAAAAACAACAACAAAAAAACAAAACAAAAAAGAAAAAAAGAGAAGAGAGAACCAGTTCTCCACGGAGCACACCTCTGCCAGCAAGAAAACAAACCTTTAATCAGATCAGCTCTGACGTCATGAGCTGCGGTTAATAATTTCTCCAGCCCTTTAGAAAAAAAAATCCAGAGCCGCGCGCGCCCCGAGCGCTGCGAGGGGCCTCTCTTAACCGCCCCTTGCGCGGTGCCCGGTGCCACGGTGAGGGGCTCCTGCGGCCCCGGGCGGGCGCCC